AAGGGGGGGGGGGGGGGGGGGGGGGGGGGCAGTCATGCATCACAGCTCCTTTAGACCAAGAAAGGTATTTGAAGAGGAGAAAAAAACCCATAGATGGAGAAGTGTTTCCTACCTTAGCTATCTTATAAGTAGACTTTGTTAGATCTATTTATATAGTTAAAAGTTACATGCTTCAGTGCTTGGCTAGATCAGAATTTCTGTTGCCAACAATGTACATATTGCAATATGTGCAAGTGTTTTGTGTCCTAGCTTTGCCTGTTCTCAAATTCCTTCTCTACTCCCTTTAAGTCTAACAGATATAAACTCTCATCACACATTTCACTTGAAGTCAAAGCTCCCTCATATGTGTTCCCATATAATTTTCAGACATGAGTAGATACACAGAAGTTCAGTGAAGATGCTTTAAGCAATTGAATTATGAAAGAAGTATTCTCAAATGAAAATTTGCTGACAAAGACATACAAGATTGCATTACCTTTATTAGAAGAAAATTAAACCCCATTTTCCTTGAAACAGTTTAAATGGAAGAAAAAAAACTTTAAAAAATTACAGAAATGTTGTAAGAGATGTTTGGTGATAACAGAAGGAATTCGAACTACTGTAAGCCATGCTTCACAAGTGTATTAGTCATGCCATCCATGTCAGTTAATTTTCTAACAATATTTAAGCCCTTACATTTTCAGAGTGCAAAAAGGAAGCTGCTGACATATGCTACCATTCACAAAGCTCAACTTTGCCCACACTGCTGTCACACAGTATTGAGGGGCTCAATCTGCTGACATTTCATCTATTGGTCTCCCACGTACTGAGGTTTGAATAAATTTAGATATGAGCTGCAAATACAGATGGATGAATACAAAAAAATACTTGAAAAGTATTAGTAAAGCTTTTAAAAATGTTCTGACAAAACAGTTGTGTCAAAAATACTAATTTGTGGAACCTAAAATGTTTCATGACAGCTCAGATTTGATTATCTTACAGCTACCTCATTTTCAAGGTTGAGGGTGGAAGGATAGGTCCACTATGTTGATCATCACAAAACAAGGGACTAGGGTTTTTCTGAATCCACGGTTCCATGACTGAAGACCCAAAAAGAGTTGACCTCAGGACTTAAGGTTAGCCCCTTCCATGTGAAACCTTCTACATGCCCTGCAGTGACACCTGGAGCTTGAAAGCCCCAAGTGTCCCAGCACAGTAATGGAGCTCTCTGGAGGTTTATACACGGGCTCCAGAGCAGGAGAGGAGGAAGGGCAAATGTATAGGCACCCTCCAGGTCTAGGTTTCACTTCACAACAGAGGCTCTAGCAGCCCAGGTTTCCAGGCACCCCAGGCCCCCAAGCTGAAGGCTCCCTGTTGTAGAGGGGAGCCCCTGATATTCTTGGGATGGTTTTCCAGAGTCTACAGCAGGGGTGGGCAATTATTTTGGGTGGAGGGCTGCTTACTGAGTTTTGGCAAGCCATCGAGGGCCACATAAACAGGCAGCCAGGGGCAGATAACTATTTATTTTCTAAATTTTTAAGGGGCCCCGTGGGCCGGATAGAATGGCTTGGTGGGCCGCATCTGGCCCACGGGCCACATTTTGCCCACCCCTGGTCTACAGCCTAGAATAAAAATCACCATGCAGGCAACCCCAGAACTGTCATAGGATTTCCAGACTCTCAGTCTGGATTATCCACACCGTATAGTGCAGATAGACACATTGGTTTCACTGACAAGAAGCAGTTAACCCTACCAAAGCTTTGCAGCCATTTTAATTTTATATGATAAGCTAAAGATCAAGAGTCCTTAATTCGGCAGTGGGCGTAGAGCCTAGGAAAAAAAAATTAACCTGCTTGTCACATAGCATCATCCTGTTCACAGCTCTGCTCTACCACACTACTGGGAGATGGAATCAAAAGGAAGGAGTGAGATCACACTTCTATACACAGAGTCTTAGATCTGCCCCGGTTACACGTAGCTAATCTAGAGCATAAAACCTGGGCAGTTCCTAGAGTTAAACTCCCAGGTTCCTGTATGGAGGCCATGAACATCTTTATACCAATTCTGACATTCATTTCCATCCATGCTGAGCTTAATGCTAATATTTTAAATGCAAATAAGGCTTCTGGAGCCAAATAATTTGCTAAACTTTGGAAGTCAATTGTAGTATGTTATAGAATAGCATTAGAATTCTGCTGCTAAGAGGCAAAACTTCCTTGAAATGACAGGGAAGCATTATTCCCATCTAACAGGGAGAACAAGAGAAAAGACACTCCATAAAGTTCATTCCAGGGTGGTATTACATGTTACCTTTAAACCAGTGGTCACCAACCAGTGGATCGTGATCTACCAGTAGATCTCAGAACCTCTTGTGGTAGATCTTGGAGCCTCCTGAAGTCAATCCAAGGCTGGTGTGGGGGGCTGAGTGCCTGTGTGCATGCAAGCGTGTGCCCCAGCCAAGCAGATTAGTTCGTGAGGGAGGGCAGAGGTGGGGGCTAGATTCAAGGCCCCCCATGGTGAGGGACAGTGCCACAGAGACAGGAGCACTGAGTGGGGCCCAGCCGGGTGGGATTTACCTGCTGGGGAGGCATGCCCCCAATAAGTTTTTCCTCCCCCTGCCTTGATCTACCCCCCACCCTTCCCTCCCCACAGACTTACCTGATGGGCAGGGAAGAGGGGTGGCAGCAGCACACAGTAGACCTTGGGTTGCTTTTAGATGCCAAAGATGATCTCCTACTTGAAAAAGTTGGAGACCACTGCTTTAAACCATTCTAAAAAAAAGTCACTTAAATGGGAGCACCTACATAACTAAAAGGATGCAACTGTGCAACGCATCTTGAAGGTATACTACTTCAGGTGGGACCATCTTTCAACTGTTTTACATAGCTCAAAAGATGGTACCGCTAGCCTGTTCCACCAGTAAACCAAACAATTTGCAGTCATCCACCATTCCAAAATGCATGGCTCCCAGCCTCTCTGCTCCAACAAACCTTCCACCCTCCTAAGCTCTACTGCCCAGTACCAAGCCAACATCCCCACTGTACCCAGCCCACATGACACCACACTGCTGATTCCAAGGACCCCAGGAGACCTGATCCAGGCCCCTAGGCTAGAGGCCAAGCACAAGGCCTTCCCATCAGTGGGCTAAGCTTTTGTTCCACATC